AGCAAGCGCAGCACATCCAGGCGTGATGAGAACGTATCTACTGATATCTCAATGGTATGGGTGGAACAACATGCAAGAACATGTCAAGGAGTACGTCCAAATTTGTGAAGCGTGTGCCAGATACAAGTCAAGCACCTCCTAGAAGAACGGACTGATGCAGCCTATTCCAATTCCGTCAGAGAACTGGGAGATGATTTCGATGGACTGGCAACCTTGATCTTGTCGACGTCTGGAATGCAAAGTCTCTTGGATTTGTTGTCGCTGCTCAAGTAGATGAGTCCGTTGATTTTCACAAATCTCTTGTCCTGTCGATCGCCTCGGAAGACGTCTCTGAAGGAGCTGTCCTTCTCGTAAAATTCTTGTGCGCAGTGATGATCGTGTCCGAGTCTTCAAAGCTTATCACGTTGTTCTGCATGAAGGTTCCTTGTTGGATAAAGGCTTGCTTGGTTCCGGTTGATACTTGTGAGCCTGATGGACTGACCTTCTCCCCCAGGAAAACCTTTTGATCACGAATTGGAGTAGGCTCGGTGGCAAGTGGCGGACGTGACAGCGCGTCTGCGACGACATTACCTTGTTTTCTCGCAAACACTTAGCGCAAATGCTGCAGATGGTCGTCGAAACAGCTTGAAAACACACAAATGTCGTCCAGACAGTCAACCACGAATTTCAGCTCTGACAGCAGCGTCCGCATGAGTCTTGTCCATGTGCCTGGCATTCCTGCGAGACCCATGGGAGCAACCTTTTACTGATAAATTTCGCTATTCATCCTGAACGCGGTATACTGCTTGCTATTCTCTTTCATTCGCATCTGGTGATACCCGGATGCCAAGTCGATAACCGAGAAGATCTTTGCACTTTGCATCTTGTCGAAGAGCTCTTCGATATAAGGAAGCGGAATCTTTGGGACTTTGGTTTGACTGTTGACGGGTCGGTAGTCAATTACCCAGCGTATTGGTATCGCTGGATCGGCAGAACTGATCCATTCAAGCCTCGTCGGAAACTTGTCGTTGTCGGATCTTTCTTTGGAACGCCGAAAATGTTGGAGACCCAGGGTGAACTCGAAATCTCCACGCATCCTTTCTTCACCAAGTCGTTCACAAAGTTATCCAGAGCTTTTTGCTCCACTTTGGACAGGCGAAATGGAGCTCCGGTGGACGACTTGGCATCCTGCTTT